TCTAAAAAAAAAAAAAAGAAAAGAAAAAGAAAAAACTACAGAAAGTTAAATAGCTTTGCCAGTGTTGTCCAGTGAATTCATTAGATCAGACTGTATTTATAAATGCCAAAATCTTGTAAATTTTCATAATTTAGTCATTTCAAAATTTAGAAAATAATTTTAGTACTTTCCAAGAATGCACTTAATATTTTTTTAACAAAACAGTTCCTGTCAAAGTACCATTATCTTCTTGTTATTAGGATACCAAATGTCTTTGGAAAGAATGTACAGATTCATGTAGATTTTTATGATAGATGACACAAGAATTTTTCAGAAACATCTTGTATTTTGAGACCTGAATTAAATACTTTAAAGAAATATCTCACACAAACAAAACAAAGAGCAATACATAAATGATATATCACTCTGCTGTGTTTTCTAACAGAACTCAGCATATAACTTACAGATTTTTCCATTGTTTTATATTAGATTAAGCCATATAAAACTGCAGGTATTATTGTTTTGACCTACGAAATATCAAGTTTACATAGTTTAACTTAATTCTCAGCTGTATAAATGTATTTTACTTGCTCGCCAATTGTAAGTAACTTGAAGGTAAAAGACCATACATTATTTTCCTTTCTATCTTAAGCACATAGTATGCAGGACTACAGAAATAATATACATAGGATAAATGATTGCTAAATTTAGACAAATAAGTGAATGAGTGAGCTGCTCTCAGAAATCAATACATTTAATTTCTGGTATCCGCCCAGGGTAAGACAAATACTCCATTCAAAATAACACTGTCATTTTGTTTTGTATTTTTAAGTTGTATTTATACAACTGCAAATATCTAGATAACCGGTTATATATTTTACTTTTCCTGTGGAAGTTGTGATGAGTAGATATAGTTTAAAACTGAAACATATAGCTATAGAATGTCTACTCTTTCTGTTTACATTATATACCATACAAATAAAGCTATTAAAACTAGTAAAAACTATTCCAGTCATGCTAAAAGTTATGGTATAACAAATATGTAAATTCATGCTCTTAAATGTTTATATTAACATTTATACTTAAATCTTGATATTACATTAACTTTAAAAATACAGATATATCAAACATCCTTCTCATTAGAGTTAAGGCAAATAGGATATAGTTATCTATAGGAAAAAGACAAACCTGGTGCAGTGACTCACACCTGTCATCCCAGCACTTTGGGAGGCCGAGGTGGGTGGATCACCTGAGGTCAGGAGTTCAAGACCAGCCTGGTCAACATGGTGAAAACCCATCTCTACTAAAAATACAAAAAACTAGCCAGTCATGATGGTGGCACCTGTAATCCCAACTATTCGTGAGACTGAGGCAGGAGAATCGCTTGAACCAGGGAGGCAGAGGTTGCAGTAAGCTGAGATCGTGCCATTGCACTCCAGCCTGGGTGGCAGAGCAAGACTCCATCTCAAAAAAAAAGAAAAAAGAAAAAAGAAAAAGGCAATGCACAGCAGATTATAATTTAAGCAACTGAAAATTTCTTCAATCTTTTTTCTAGTTTTGCACTTTTAAAGATACTCTTATTGTCACATGCTTTTTAAAAAATGATACTCATATTATTTGTTGCCTATTAATTTGCATAGTTTTCCTTCTAAACAAAACCTACTCCTCCAAAGCTTACAATACAGCCTGTTCATGGGGCAGAGAGCGCAGCCTGGTGAGCAGCCTGCAGTGTGGGGCCAAAGAGTGACCTACAAAAGTGCCTCATTAGGGACTCCTGGCACTAGAGTCAAAACAAGGGAACATTTTATCATGGAGCATTGGAATATTCTAGGAAAAATAAAAGCTACTGTTTCTAGAGCTCCTGCTATGTATGGCCAACATTTTACATAAACCATTTTACATAATCTTCACAGCAATCCTGCAAGACAAATATCATCATCCCCTTTATAGCTCAGAGAATTTTAATAGTTTGCCCATGTCACTTAGCTGGAATCCAGGTCTCACATGCTGGAAAGCCCACCATGCATTGCCACCACTTTATGGTGACAGCCCTTCCATTTCTCCAGCAGATACTGAGCAGCAATTGCTCTATGCCTGGCATTTGTGCTAGTCCTTGTGCCTTGGCCTCAGGAAGCTTAGTGTAGGCAAGACACAGAATAAACAAATACCTTCCCGAATACACACTGTCCAGGAGTTATAAGGTACAGTATGGAAAAACCAAGCAGGGTCAATGGAATGACATGCGAGAATGGCAGCTTTTTAGATCAGGTGGCCAGAGAAGGCTCTCTGAGTAGGTGCCGTGTGAGCAGAGGCCATGATTAAGAAAGGGCGTGAGATGTGCTATTCTGAGAGGCAAGGATAAAGTCCTCAGGTGGCATCCTTGGAAACACCCTGACATGGCACTAGGGTGGTGGCATTCAACCAAATTGTTTCTGTTAATTTACCTTCAATCAGATTACATTCACCCGACTCACCTGAGGCCTACCAGGTTACTCTCGGGAACTTCTTTGCTATATACCATGTTCACCTCCCAAAGGTGGCACTTCTTGTGGGCAAAGGAAAATGTGTGCAGAGATCAAGCCTCGCCTTCCTAGCTAAGCCTGACATTTTGCCAGTGTGGTGTTGTGAGTGAGTATAACCCAGCTTTTCATGGAATCATTGCCCTGTGGAACCTGGATGGGGCTCTGGGTCTTCCTCTTTGCTCTGCAATTAGCTCTAGAAATCATAGCAAGCTGCCTCAGGGGTAAACTTGATCAGACAAGGAGCCTTCCATAGAGCAGACAGTGCACTGCCTTGCACCAGGGCTTCCAGCCATTTTTAGAAAGCTTCACATGTCTGCAGTGCTGGGGGAGGCAGCCACGCAACTTCCCATCACTGGAACCCACTCATGCTTTCTCGCTCAATGAGGGCCCACACATTTTGGGGAGAATATAAAGACCAATAAAACATTTCAATTCTCAAGTTTATGATCTAGTGGAGGAGACAGACAGTACTCCTACAGTGATAAATGCCATCAGTGGTGCACACTCTAAGGAAGTATGAAAGAACTTGAGATTGCTTTTAATTGGACATTGAATCAGGTACCCTGCAAAATGTCTAGCAAAGAACCCAAGACTTAGTAAACATTCAACACACATTAGCTAGCACTCTTATTCGGATTGGTTTCACATAGGAAGCAGAATTTGAGGCAAGGTAGGATTGCCAGATAAAGTACAGGATGTCCAGTGAAGTTTGAATTTCAGATAAACAACAAAAAAATTTTAAGTGTGTCTCAAATATCACATGAGACATACTTATACTAAAATAGATTTGCTGTTTATCTGAAATTCAAACTTCACTGGGACACCCTTATTTTTATTTGCTATTTGACCAACCTAATACATCTGGCAAATCTAAGCTGAATTTTTTTTTTTACTTTTATTGAAGTATAATTGACAAATAAAAGTTGCATAATTTAGGTTGTACAGCTTGATGTTTTTTTATTTTCCTTCAAAGGGGAACTTCTCTCTGATTGGTGTTTTGATACACATAAACATTGTCAAATGATAACAACAATTAATCTAATTAGCACATAAAACACCTCATATCGTTACTTTTTTGTGTGGTGTGCTACCTTTTTAGCAAATTTCAAATATGCAGCACAGTATTAGCAACTATAGTCACCATGGTGCACATTAGACTCCAGAACTTACTCATATTGCATAACTCAAATTGTGTGCCCTTTGGCCAACATCTCTGCCATTTCTCCTATGCCTCAGACCCTGGCCACCACCATTCTACTCTTTTCTTCTGTGAGTTTGAGTATTTTAGATTTCACACATAAGAAAGATCATACAGTATTTGTCTTTCTTTTCCTTTCTTTCTTTCTTTTTTTTTTTTTTTAAGAGGGAGTCTCGCTCTGTGGCCCAGGCTGGAGTGCAATGGTGAAATCTCGGCTCACTGCAACCTCCTCCGCCTTCCGAGTTCAAGTGATTCTCCCTGCCTCAGCCTCCCGAGTAGCTGGGATTACAGGTGCCCACCACCATGACCGGCTAAGTAGTATTTGTCTTTCTATATCTGCTCATTTCACTTAGGATAATGCCCTCTAGGTTCATCTGTGTTACTGCAAATGACAGAATTTCCTTGTTTTTCAGGGCTGAGTAATACTCCATTGTGTATATATACGCCACATTTTCTTCATCTCCTCATCCATCAGTGGACACTTGGGTTGTTTCCACATCTCGGCTATTGTCAATAAAGCTGTAATGAACATGAGAATGCAAGTATCTCTTCAAGGTCCTGATTTCATTTCTTTTGGAAATACACTCAGAAGTGAGATTGCTGGCACAGAAACAGGAAAGAAATTGTATTTTTCATGGCACTTTATGATCTCCCATAATTCACTGAGTACTTCCTATGTGACAGTCACTGTTCTGAGGGATTTACAAGAATTAACTCGTTTATTCTTCATAAAAGCATGGGGTAGCTTATCAGCATCCTTATTTTATAAATGAGGAAACTGAGGTATAAAGAGGTAAAGTAACTTGTCCAAGAACATAGAGCAGGAAAGTGGTGCAGCTTGGATTATGAACCTAAGATGTTTGGTTCCTGGGGCTACTGTCATCTTAATATTTTAGATAGAGAAAAGCAATCTGTTCTAAATAAAGTTGTAGAAAGCCTTCAGGGCCAGCCTATCACCAAAGTTATTTTTTACACACCAGATCACCCAACCCTAATTTCTGCATAAAGTGAAATATTGTTTGCTAAATCACTACTACTGGGGGCTACAGCAAGCTTAACTAAGCACCTTCTGTATTCTTTCACGTATAGAAATATGGATATACCCTCCTATGCTCCTCTTTTCATTCTCAAAGTCACCCTGTTCCTGGAATGTGAGATCTTCTCCTAATCGTTGGCTGGAGAATCAAACGCTACCTTTGCAACAGCTTATCGGAAGCAAACAAGCTGAGGGGAATTGAGCAAGAATTTCTGGGACACCAACAGGATAGGAGGAACAAAGGATGTAGAGGGAGGGTTGACTGTCTACACAGGACAAAGCCAATGATTAACCAAATCTCCTGCAGATTTAAATGGGATGGGAACTAGGAGTGGAGGCAATCCTTTCTTTCAGCCGGAGTGCTCCTCATGAGCCAGCCCTACCCTTAGAAAAGATGTTTTCCATGAGGATCGTCTGCCTGGTCCTAAGTGTGGTGGGCACAGGATGGGTATGGTCCTTTCCATTTTCTCTTCTTGCTTTCTCTCTGGTGTTTATTCCACAAAGAGCTTGGAGGTCAGAGTCTACCTGTTCTATGTCATGACATACTCTTAGCTTTATGAACTCCAGGCCTGGGAGGAAAGCTCCTGGATGGGATTGACACCTCAAGAATACAAGGTAATATGACCCCAAGAGGAAGATCTTAGATGGATGAGAGTGTACAAACTCACAAGGGAAACTTTAGCATCGGTCATTCAGTCTTAGTACATTTCGTTTTGTTTTGTTTTAAAAAGGGCAAGAATTCTTTGCTATCCTTGTAGTTATAAAGCCTTGGTGCATTATAATGCTAGTTAATGGAATAAAACATTCTACGGTAAGATTTGTTTTCTTTATTTATTTTTTGCTACTTCCCCATAATAAGCAGAACTTTTAGTTTTCGTACAGTTTTGCTGAAAGGTTATTTTTGTGTTTGTCAAGACAAAAGAAAAGGCAAACTAATTATCTTTGGAAACATCTTTGCAGTATCAGAAGAGATTAGTTAGTAAGGCAATATGCTTTTAGGAAGTAATGGTATTCTTTTAGATTATGAATCCATCTCTAAAGGTTACATAGAAACTTGAAGGAGAGATGAACATTAAGTTAAGATAGTGTAGGTTTTTTCTACCGAAGCAACAATTACAGGAGAAAGAGCTCTATAGCTTTCAACTTTCTTTCTGTCTGTAGTCATTAGTAAAAATGAAAAGGTAAAATTTAACTGATTTTGTAGATTCAAATAATTTTCCTTTTAGGATGGATTCTTTAAAACTCCTAATATTTATCAAATGCTTATTTAGTGTCATACACAGTTAAGAAATTTGTACACCTTATCTCCTTTAATTCTCATAACAACTCCATAAAATGGGTCTTAGGATTTCCATTTGAAGACAAGAAACCTGAGGCTTGCAGAAGCCCTGTGGCTGGTGTCCTTAATCTTTGTGAGGGTGCCATCTCTTCCTGGGGACTTATAGGCATGCCAGTGTCTCCTCTTCTGGCTAACATTGCTGTTGCTCTCTTTTGTGTATGTGAATGAATCTTTAAAGACTGCAGATACTGGTGAAGGTGACTTTCTAGCTGAAGGAGGAGGCGTGCGTGGCCCAAGGGTTGTGGAAAGGCATCAATCTGCCTGCAAAGATTCAGACTGGCCCTTCTGCTCTGATGAAGACTGGGTAAGCAGTTAGCTGGGGAAGCAGGAAATTCCTTCCCTCTGTTGCTAGAGGGGCTCACAGGCTGACCTGATTGGTCCCAGAAACTTTTTAAAATAGAAAATAATTGAATAGCTCCCTACATACCAAATAAAGAAAAGGAACCTACTAGCAAGAACACTGTTTAATTACCTCCCCAACTCTGGATCATTAGTGGGTGAATAGACTGGATTTCAGTTGCATGCTCAGGCAAAACTAGGCACCTGAGTATAGTGGCCTCAACTTCCTGGCATCTAATTTATGGTTAAGTGGAACGTCATTCCAGAATTTCTCTGCAACCTCTAACTAGTCCTCTTACCTACTTTTAAGCCAACTTGTCTGGAAGAGACAGGGTAGGAAGAAATGGGGACTGCATGGACACATGCAAAATTATTCTGAGTCCAAGAGATAGATCCTTACTGTAATTTTCTCTCTTCACTTTCAGAACTACAAATGCCCTTCCGGCTGCAGGATGAAAGGGTTGATTGATGAAGTCAATCAAGATTTTACAAACAGAATAAATAAGCTCAAAAATTCACTATTTGACTATCAGAAGAACAATAAGGATTCTAACTCAGTGACCACTAATATAATGGAAATTTTGAGAGGTGATCTTGTCTCATCCAATAGTAAGTATTACACGTTTATTGCTTTGATTTTGTAACAGAAACAACAAAAATCCTAAATAAATATGATATCTGCTTATATCTATGACAATTTCATCCCAAAGTACTTAGTGTAGAAATACATGCCTTCATAACATCCCTGAAAATTTTAAGGGGGAGCTTTTGTTTTTGCAATTTTTTCAAAGTAAAAGATGTTAACTGAGATTGTTTAAGGTCACAAAATAAGTCAGAATTTTGGATTAAAAACAAGAATTTAAGTGTGTTCTTTTCAACAGTATATACTGAAAGTAGGATGGGTCAGACTCTTTGAGTTGGATATTTTTGTTTCTGCCTTGCAGAGGTAAAAACTGAGAGGTCAAGGAACTTATTCAAAGACACAAAGCTGGGAGTTCAACCCTCAGACTCCACTGAGCTTATTAGGTAGATTTTTAACTTTAAAATATAGAGTCAAGCTACATCATTTTCAGAGTCTACTCATTAGGGTTAGGAAACATTGCATTCGCTCTGGTCACGGACAGCGAGTCTAGGGAGGCCTCAGTTTCTGAAGTTTTGCTTTACCTTTTTACACCTTCACAAACACTTGACATTTAAAATCAGTGATGCAACACTAGCTGGCAAGTGAGTGATCCTGTTGACCCAAAACAGCTTAGGAACAATTTCAAATCTATAGATAAAAAGAAAAATTCATCAGTAAGAAAATCCAATATGTTCAAGTCCGTTGATTAAGGATATTATAAAATATTTGGAATGCAATCAAACCAATTATTTTAACTCCAAATTACACCTTTAAAATTCCAAAGAAATTTCTTCTATATTTCTTTGAGATTACTAATTGCTAATAGGACATCTTAACTGGGATTCATGGATGGCTGCAGGGTATAACATTATCCAAAAGTCAAATGTCCCATAGGTTTTGAATTCACAGATTAAACTGTAACCAAAATAAAATTGGGAATATTTGCAAGCTAGCTTCTTTCTTTCTTTCTTTCTTTCTTTCTTCCTTCCTTTCCTCCTTCCCTCCCTTCCTCCCTTCCTCCCTTCCTCTCTTTCTCTCTTTCTCTCTTTCTTTCATCTCTCTCTCTCCTTCCTTCCTTTCTTTTTTGCTGGCAATTACAGACAAATCACTCAGCAGCTACTTCAATAACCATGTTTTCTATTTCAGACCGTGATAATACCTATAACCGAGTGTCTGAAGATCTGAGAAGCAGAATTGAAGTCCTGAAGCGCAAAGTCATAGAAAAAGTACAGCATATCCAACTTCTGCAGCAAAATGTTAGGGCTCAGTTGGTTGATATGAAAAGACTGGAGGTAAGTATGTGGCTGTGGTCCCAGACTTCCTTGTTTATGAGTAGCAGGGAAAAGGAAGGCGATAGTTATGCATTGAGTGTTTACTATATGCAGAGAAAAGTGTTATATCCATCACCTACCTAAAAGTAGGTATTATTTTCCTCACTCCACAGTTGAAGAAAAAAAATTCAGAGATATTAAGTAAATTTTCCAATGGTACATAGATAGTAAATTTCAAAATCAAGTGTTCAGTCCCTGTCTAATTCCAAAGCCCCTTACATCACCATGCCTCTGAGTCTTCAGCCTGAGTTTCACCAACGATCATTTAATTAGCGTTTCCTTTGAGAGGGAATAGCACCTTACTCTTGATCCATTCTGAGACTAAGATGATCAAAGAGCATTCATTGCTTATCCTGGCTAGCCCTGCAATACCCAACATCTCTTCCACTGAGGGTGCTCGATAAGCAGAAAACAGAGAATATTAAGTGGTAGGTCTCCCAGTCAAAAAGAAATGAAACCAGTTTCCAGACGGAAAATTAACTACCAGAAACTCAATAGACATAGTTTATGTATTTGTATCTACATTTTCTCTTTCTTTTTCTCCCCTCTCTCTAGGTGGACATTGACATTAAGATCCGATCTTGTCGAGGGTCATGCAGTAGGGCTTTAGCTCGTGAAGTAGATCTGAAGGACTATGAAGATCAGCAGAAGCAACTTGAACAGGTCATTGCCAAAGACTTACTTCCCTCTAGAGATAGGCAACACTTACCACTGATAAAAATGAACCCAGTTCCAGACTTGTTTCCCCCAAATTTCAAGAGCCAGCTTCAGAAGGCACCCCCAGAGTTGAAGGCATTAACAGACATGCAGCAGATGAGAATGGAGTTAGAGAGACCTGGTGGAAATGAGGTTACCCGAGTAGACTCCTCTCATGGAACAGGATCAAAGACAGAAAGCCCCAGGAAACCTAGCAGTGCTGGAAGCTGGAACCCTGGGAGCTCTGGACCTGGGGAGCCTGGGATCCTGAAGTACTGGAACCTGGAACCCTGGGAGCTCTGGAACTGGAAGTACTGGAACCTGGAACCCTGGGAGCTCTGGAACTGGAAGTACTGGAACCTGGAACCCTGGGAGCTCTGGAACTGGAAGTACTGGAACCTGGAACCCTGGGAGCTCTGGACCTGGAAGTACTGGAAACCAAGACACTGGGAGCCCTAGACCTGGTAGTACTGGAACCTGGAATCCTGGCAGCTCTGGACATGGAAGTGCTGGGCACTGGAGTTCTGAGAGCTCTGTATCTAGTAGTACTGGACATTGGCACTCTGGATCTGGAAGTTTTAGGCCAGATAGCTCAGGCTCTGGGAACACCAGGCCTACCAACCCAGACTGGGGCACTTTTGAAGAGGTGCCAGGAAATGTAAGTCCAGGGACAAACAGAGAGTACCACACAGATAAACTGGTCACTTCTAAAGGAGACAAAGAGCTTGTGGTTGGTAAAGAGAAGGTCACCTCTGGTAGCACAACCACCACACGTCGTTCATGCTCTAAAACCGTTACTAAGACTGTTATTGGTCCTGATGGTCAAAAAGAAGTTACCAAAGAAGTGGTGACCTCCGAAGATGGTTCTGACTGTCCCGAGGCAATAGATTTAGGCATAGGTACTCTGGATGAGTTCCGCCATAGGCACCCTGATGCAGCTGCCTTCTTTGACACTGCCTCAACTGGAAAAACATTTCCAGGTTTCTTTTCACCTATGTTCAGAGAGTTTGGCAGTGAGGCTGAGTCAATGGGTTCAGAATCTGGTACCTTCACAAATACAAAGGAAACCAGTTCTCATCACTCTGGGGTAGCTGAATTCCCTTCCAGTGGTAAAACTTCAAGTCACAGCAAACAATTTATTAGTAGCACAGCTTACAACAGAGAAGGCTCCACATTTGAAAGCAAGAGTTATAAAATGGCAGATGAGGCCGGAAGTGAAGCCGATCATGAAGGAACACATTCCACCAAGAGAGGCCATGCTAAATCTCGCTCTTCCAGAGGTATCCACACTTCTCCTTTGGGGAAGCCTTTCCTGTCCCCCTAGACTAAGTTAAATATTTCTGCACAGTGCTCCCATGGCCCCTTGCATTTCCTTCTTAACTCTCTGTTACAATTCATTGAAACTACACTTTTTTGGTCTGTTTTTGTGCTAGACTGTAAGTTCCATGGGGGCAGGGCCTTTGTCTGTCTCATCTCTGTATTTCCAAATGCCTAACAGTAACAGAGTCATGACTCAATAAATACATGTTAAATGGATGAATTACTTCCTCTGAAACTCTATTTGAGCTTATTTAATCAAATTCTTTGACTAATCAAAGTGTGTGCTATTAGAATTGTCACTCAATTGATTAATCACATTTTTAGTATGTGTCTCAGTTGATATTTAGGTCAGGCTAAAAACAAGTTCTGTTAGTATTAATTGATGCTTAGTTACCTGTACTGGTTACTTGCTATTAGTATGCACAAGTAAAATTCCAAATCCACTTGAGGAAAATCCCCTTTGCAATTTGTAGGTATAAATAAGCCCTTGTTTGCATAAGTTCTATCCCACTGTAAGTGCATCCTTCCCCTATGGAGGGAAGAAAAGGAGGAACAAAGAACGGAAGGGAAGGAAACAATATTTGCCTTCTTTAATCTGAGTCGTGCCTATCTTTGTAAAGTTAAATGAGAATAACTTCTTCCAACCAGCTTAATTTTTTTTTTAGACTGTGATGATGTCCTCCAAACACATCCTTCAGGTACCCACAGTGGCATTTTCAATATCAAGCTACCCGGATCCAGTAAGATTTTTTCTGTTTATTGTGATCAAGAGACCAGTTTGGGAGGATGGCTTTTGATCCAGCAAAGAATGGATGGATCACTGAATTTTAACCGGACCTGGCAAGACTACAAGAGAGGTTTCGGCAGCCTGAATGACAAGGGGGAAGGAGAATTCTGGCTAGGCAATGACTACCTCCACTTACTAACCCAGAGGGGCTCTGTTCTTAGGGTTGAATTAGAGGACTGGGCTGGGAACGAAGCTTATGCAGAATATTACTTCCGGGTAGGCTCTGAGGCCGAAGGCTATGCCCTCCAGGTCTCCTCCTATGAAGGCACTGCAGGCGATGCTCTGATTGAAGGTTCCGTAGAGGAAGGGACAGAGTACACCTCTCACAACAGCATGCAGTTCAGCACCTTTGACAGGGATGCAGACCAGTGGGAAGAGAACTGTGCAGAAGTCTATGGGGGAGGCTGGTGGTATAACAACTGCCAAGCAGCCAATCTCAATGGCATCTACTACCCTGGAGGCTCCTATGACCCGAGGAATAACAGTCCTTATGAGATTGAGAACGGAGTAGTCTGGGTTTCCTTTAGAGGGGCAGATTATTCCCTCAGGGCTGTTCGCATGAAAATTAGGCCCCTTGTGACCCAATAGACTAAAGGAGTGGGAGTGGGAGCACTCTGGCTTCTTTGCTAGAAAAGTGGAGAGGAAATAAGAAAGGTAAAGCGTTGAGATTCTCTACAATCTAAAAAATTCCTAGGTGCTATTTTCTTATCCTTTGTACTGTAGCTAAATGTACCTGAGACATATTAGTCTTTGAAAAATAAAGTTATATAAGTTTTTTTATCTTTAAATAGCTCTGTGGGTTTGAAAATTTTTATAAGGATATACCAAGGGCCATTCAGTATAACAGGAAATGTCAGACAGAAGCTTCCCTCTCTAACCTTGAGGAGTATTGGTTTGAGAACTTCTCTTCCCATACCACCCAAAGTCATAAGGCCATTGCAAACTAAAAAAGTTATTTTATCCATTTGATATGAATGGTTTTAAGCCAATATTTTAAGGTAAAACTCACTGAATCTAACCATAGCTGACCTTTGAAGTAGAATTTACAACTTATAATTACAATGCACAGTTTATAATTACAATATGTATTCATGTCTTTTGATATGGAGCAAATCCAGGAAGACAGGAGAAACATTCTTTCCTAAATAGAAATGAAAATCTGTCCTTTAAGCCCTTCCACTAGATATTGTAAGGCATACTTATTTTTCTTCCCAGGGTGTAACCAATTTCTTTCAAAAACACATTTAAAATTTTAAAACTATTTATGATTATTCAAAAAGCAGACAATTCACACATTAATAAATAATCTCCCAAGTATTGATTTAACTTCATTTTTCTAATAATCGTAAACTATATTCTGTGACATGTTCACTATTATTAAATGTAAATGGTTAGTTGAAAGCATCTCACTAAGTATGATCTACACTATATTCAAAATTCAACACATTTGCATTGGTCAATATTTGGTCCAAGCTGCATCTTTAATCCTGGTGGCCTTGCCCTCTGATTTTCAATTTGCATTCTTCTCTATTAAGATATATTTGCCTTTTCTCTTGAATATGTATTAAAATATCCCAAGCAATCCAGTATACCATCCTTTCTTACATAGCTTCTATTCTGTTACGACTGCATTATTTCTCAAGGAAGGAAGGAAGGAGAGACAGTGGGAAGGAGAGGAGAAGGGAGGGAGGAGGAAAAAGGAGGCTATAGCTAGGGGCCAGAGCCTGGGGATCAAAAGGGAAATAACCTTGCAAATGCATCACATATGAACCCCAGAGTTCTTGAATTTCCTTGTGGGGAATTGTAAATCTCTGATACAAACTAAATGCTATACCTTCAAATAGTTGGATACTTGGAAAAGAACTTCAGAATTAAATTAAGCTTCATTTCTTTCAGACATCAGAACTTCATGCTGTCTCTATCCCCACTCCACTTTCACTCACATGTATGCCTTGACAGAATTTGAGTTGAGACTAGAAAATACTTTGTTTTCCCGAATAGCACATTATTTAGGAACAGAATTGGGTCCTGGAATGAAAGTGATTATGAATGGGAAGGACCATTTATTTCTAATTATTTAGAAGATTTTGAGTTTATCAAAGGATTAGATAAACCTCTTTTAATTTAATAAATGGTAGTCAATATTAGCAGGCTCATGAGAACTGGAGATACAATTTGGTTTTGAGACAAGACATGACACATCTATTTTCCGTTTCACCTTATCTTTATTTTCTATTTCATTTTTTCTGAAATTAAATATTAATTTAGCTCTCTGACTCTCATTCATTCAGAAGCCCATTTCAACTCAGTTTTCATGCGATTACCTCATGCTTGAAATTGATCTCCTTAAGTCAACACAACTTTGGAATTCTAAATTAAATGGGCTGCATTCAAGCCTCTTTCTACTTGATCTCTTTTAAACATCTGCTACTTATTTTGCCCTTATCCTGCCTCTCAGACTTGTCTTTTTGTCTTGGTTTCTATACCATTTCTTCCTGTCTCACTCTTTTCAGTGTTTTTAACTGGTAATTTCTTCTCAGACCACTTCTTAAATGTAGGGGTTTCTCACTGCATTTACATTGGTACTCATCTTTATCATTTGAGATTAGGTTTGGCACATCTGATTTCAACAAGACAGAAATTCATTTCTTGCTCACAGAAAAGCCTATGTAGGAGTATGTCTGCATAGTCTTCAGGAAGCCATCATTTTAATAAAAGACTTACATCCTCTGGTTCACCTCACAATCCAAATATGTCCTGTGGCAATCTGGAAGGTGCAGAAAACAGTGAAGGGCAAAGGAGTACCTTCTCCTTTTAAGGAACTTTCTTGAGTGTTCTAATAGCACTTCTGCTTATATTAGCCACAACTTAGTCACATAGATGAGCTTAGTTGCAGGAGAAGCTGAGGCAAGTTGACTTTTAGCTTGAGTACAAGTCTATCCTAACTAAAATCAGGATTCTGCTAATAAGGAAAAGAGGGAGAATAGATATGGAAGTCTGCAATTACCACTCTTGGCCAAACATGTTCTCACTCTACAGTGAGTACCCTTTCTCCTTGATTGATCTGACAATCACCATAGCTTCAACTACTATCAGTGGCCTTAAGCAGGAGGCAGACATTAAGATTAAGTTAAAACTTCTTGGCTTAGAATATAAACTCTTTCACAAACTGGTCCATCTTCAACCTCTGCAATCAATCATTCTATACATTAATTACACTGAATTTCTCACTGGCACTGAAATACTAGGTCATTAAATGATTTTCTGCCTTTTCATAAACTACCTAGAAGACACCCATTCACCCCTTTAAAAACAGCTCAAATAATGCTGCTTCTGTGAACCCTTCCCCAGTGTACCATAGAATGAATTGAATTGTCCTCTAGGCCCTCATAGCTTGTTCTTATCTCAAAAATAGCATATTCCATCCCTAACTCTAATGTATTTATATTATTTGTGGTACTAGGTTATGAATTCCTTTGGGATAGAGCTCATTTATATAGTGTATCCTGTTCTACATAAAATGTCTCCCCATCCTAAGATTATATAGTCTTTCAAATACTTCCTTAATTTTAAAATGTTCTTTCTTTTTTCTGTTTTTTCTTTTGCACATATATATTTAACCTATAATTTATTTTAATATGTCATGAAGAAAGTCTACTTTTGTTTTTTTTGTGGATGGATAGCCAATTATACTGGGATCCTTTATTAAAGAAAGCATTCTTTGCCCATAGAACTAAAATGTCAATTTTTTTCTATAAGATTTTGTTGGGATCAATATATAAACTCTCTCCTTTTTTTTTTTTTAGTCTGTAAAATTGTACTTTTAATTTTTACTTTCTTTTGTTGTTGCTCTGGGACTACTTAGAGAAGTTGTTCTTAATTTCCAATTTTCTCATTTTAAAACCCAATTTGTTATTTTTTAGGGGGTTAGAGTGAGTCATCTTTCAATCATTAGTTTTCAAGTATTTAATAAATATTGTTAATTTAACCAACTGTTTCATTCTAAGCATTTTAGATTTCCTTAATTAATTAATTAATTAATTAATTTTATTGCAGTGGTACAATCATGGCTCATTGCAGCCTCTACCTCCTGGGCTCAAGCAATTCTTCCATCTCAGCCTCCTAAGGAGCTGGGACTACAGTCACACACCACCATGTCCAGTTAATTTTTTCCCTTTTTGTAGAGACAGAGTCTTGCTATGTTGTCCAGGCTGGTCTTAAACTCCTGGCCTTAAGCAATCCTCCTGTCTCAGTCTCCCAAAGTATAGAATTTTTAAGGTTTTCTTTGTGGACAAGTTTGCATTAATTTTTGCAAATGTTTCATTGGTGAAAAGAATGTATATTATCACATCCATATGTTATTATATTACATATTACCAAGCCTGCTGATGGTATTATTTAAATATCCCGTATCTTTTCCTTTTTATGTATCTTTTTTTAAGAGACAGAGTCTCACTCTGTTACCTAGGCTGGAAGAGTGCAGTAGTGCAATCATAGCTCACTGGTGGCTCAAACTCCTGACCTCTTGCCTGGGACTCCCAAAGCACTGCCATTATAGTTATGAGTTATCCCTTTATTTTCAAGATTTATTCTTCATCTTATTTAGAATAGTTTTTATAAATAATAGATACATTTTAAAACTTAATTATTTTACATTTACTTAAAAATATTATTATTTCCTCTTTCCTTAACTTTTACTCCCTTACTTAAATAATATGGCCTCCCTCCATTAACATGCAAGTTCTATTTAGGTTATCTATTTCAAAATAGTCCTTAGTTGAATGAATGGATTAATGAACAAAACAGATATAAATGTGAAAATTTTGCCAGGAAAGGACATGGTTTTAAATATTTCTGCTAGAGAGAAAAACGTTGAATTGGGGTTTTTAATCCTGAGTCAGGAATAGAAAAAACATCTGGCTAGATTTTAATTTTGCCTCCAGGTAAATCTATCTCCATCCTTTAGCCTGAAGCTGTCTTTGATGTTCTCCTTTAGTATACCATAGTATATGAGAAAAATATCATAATTCTTCTTTTCTTAGCTGTAGAAACTTACACCTAAAAAATATCTGGTACTTAACACAAGGCCTGACACGTAATAATGACTCAATAAATTTTTGTGACCTAAGAAATCTAAATGTTAAAAAGGAACTTTTAGGACCAGCTGCAGTGGCTCATGCCTCTAATCCCAGCAATTTGGAAGGCTGTGGAAGAAGGATAACTTGAGTCCAGGAGTGCAAGACCAGCCTGGGCAACATAGTGAGACCCTATCTCTACAAAATAAATAAATAAATAAGCTGCATGTGGTGTCGCATACTTATGATCCCAGCTACTCAGGAAGCTGAGGTGAGAGGATCACTAGAGCCAAGGAGATCAAGCTTGAGGTTGCAGTGGGCCATGATTGTGCCACTGCCCTCAAGCCTGGGCAACAGTGGGAAACTGTATTTCAAACAAAGCTAAACAAAACAAATAAAAAAGGAACTTATCATCTGTTTCAACCTTCTACAGAATGCATAATATAATGAAGTTAAGATTTGGGTTCTTATTAAAAGATATTATTGACATTTTAATCCAAGTCTTGTGTTTATGTATTTACTTTTAGTTCCTGGAAACTCTTTAGAATAAAGAATTTCAAGTTTCCCCCCAAATATGTGGATACTTTTAATGGATAATTATTACTAGTGCTCTTTTAATGAAGGTGAGAACATTTTATGAACTGATTTTTCAGGTGAGTAAATAGTAGTTTAAGCAGGTGAAATAATGTGATGATAAGGAGGACACCTGGGGA